GACTTCTTCTTTCTTCCTGCTCGCGGCTACGGAGTGGGGGGTACCCCTCTCCGATTCTGCTTTGACGGGTAAGGGTCCTCCCTTCCTTCCTGGCTGCTGAGCAATGGAATTATGCTGGGGAAGATGGGCCGGGGCAGTGCTTCTGACTCAGCCCCTTACCTTACTTTGTCAATAGGTTTTTTTGGCTCTTCAAGTAAGTTACTTCTACTAATTCAGTTGTACCAGATTAGTTAAAAGAAATTATGATGCAGTACCCATGAGACAGGGAGAACCTGCTCAGCATCTCGCCCTGCCTCCGCCCGCTTCCTCCACGCGCTGTTTGGTACCGGTTCCCGCGCTGGCACCTCTCTGTTCAACCCAAACCAAGCAGAACACCGCATCGCCAACGCCAGAAAAGGTAAGTTAAAAGCTTTGGGTAGGCAGACAAAGAGGAGCGCTCATCGGAAATGGAGCCAGAGCAAGCGACAGCTGGAAGGAACAGGCAGCAAAAGCAGGAGGTCGGGGCTTTTTACGCTCTGAATTCCACATTTCAGCTGAATGACTGTGTCATGACGAACTTTCTCTCCTGCTGTCACCACGGGATCCATCGCGTTCACCCGACCAGGCCTTGAACAATCAAATCAATTCTCTTTCATCACTCCTGCGGCTCGGACATATTCCCTTTGATCTGCAGGGTTCGCTAGTAAAACAGGCAAAGGGAAAAAAGCAGAGTGGAGAAGGAGGCATTTTCTCCTATAGAGAAGCTTCAGTCCTGCACAGACTTTAGTACCGGATTCATGCTTTGAGGTACAGGCTACTTTGAAGCCTTATGTAGGCTTCAAAGCACCTCAAGAGCGAGAGGACAAAAATGGGCAACTCCAGCTTTTAATTCAGTCGGCCTTTAATTTAGTTCTGTAAAAATCAGAGGAATTTATCTTCTGTTTTTCTCAGGGCTATATACGCTGGCAGAACAAAAAAAAAAAACCCATTCTGTCCGTTACTGGTTTTACCAGGCAAACCAATTCGTACCGAAATCAAAACCACCATCGGGAAAGCTGTCTGTTTGTAGCACAAGCCATCACAACACAGAAGTTCTGCAAAAAATTTAAATTCCTCCCCCACAAATCATGAGGTTCATACATCTGCTGGAGAAGTGGAGCCAGTCTAAACCCTTGTTGATGTGACTAATAAGGTTAGATAATTGGATTTCTGGCAGATTAGTTTAACAGCAGCCAACCATTCAATTTTGCAGCTCTCTTTGAAAGCCATGCTGGACAATGATAATTGGTGGTTGCATACAGACAACATAATGCAGTGCGTTACACCGACACGGCAAGTATGAAAGCTTGCCTAGGTACCGGGAATACTTCAATTATTTTGCATCTTTTTCTATCACTTCAACACAAAAGAGACAAAAAACGTGAGCCGGGAAGCTACAGGCCAGGCAGGTCCACTTCAGTTCCCGAGTAAACCATGGAGCAAGCCCTCGTGGAAGCTATTTCCAGTACACGCAGGGCGAGCAGGTGACGAGGAGAAGCCAGCACGGATTTACCAAGGGTAAATCACATCTGACCAACCCGACTGCCTTCTGTGATGACACCAGCTGCTGAGCGGTTGTCACCATCTTCGCCATGTGTTCGATACGGTCTCTCAAAACACACTTGTTGACGAGTTGGTAAGATACGGACGGGGCAGAGAGACTATAAGGTGGGTGGAAAAAGTGGCTAAATTGCTGATCTCAACGGGTGGTGGTTTAATGACTTTGACAGTCTGGAAGACAGTCCACAAGAAATTGCACAATATTTAAGGAAGAGAAACTTCACGTCCTGCATCCGGGATGGCATAGGTGCAAGCAGCAGTACAAGACGCTCTGCTAGGAAGGACCTGGAGAACAGCAAGTTGAACATGAAGAAGTGTGCCCCTTCAATGGAGGCAAAATGCACCCCTGCTTGCACCGACAAGAGTACAGCCAGAGGATCACAGAATCGTAGGGTTTGGAAGGGACCTCTGTGGGTCATCTAGTCCAACCCCCTGCCCAAGCAGGGTCACCTACAGCAGGCTGAACAGGACCTTGTCCAGGCGGGTCTTGAATATCTCCAGAGAAGGAGACTCCACAGCCTCCCTGGGCAGCCTGGGCCAGGGCTCCGTCACCCTCAGAGGGAAGAAGTTCTTCCTCATGTTCAGCTGGAACTTCCTCTGCTTCAGTTTGTGCCCATTGCCCCTTGTCCTGTCGCTGGGCACTATTGAAAAGAGTCTGGCCCCGTCCTCCTGACACCCACCCTTCAGATATCTGTAAGTATATATTAGGTCCCTCTGATTCTCGGGCCAAGGCTGGAATACTGCACCCAGCTTTGTTTCCTCCAGCTCGAGAGAGACATCGACAAATTGGAGATGGTCTAACAGAGGGCCACCGAGATGAGCAGAGTGTTGGAGAACATGTCCCGAAGAATGGTTGAAGGAATGGGGCTTGTTCAGCCCAGAGAAAAGCAGACTCCAGCCTTCCAACAGCTACACAGTGGTTACAGAGGAGATGGAGCTACTCTGTTCACAAGGGTGCACAGTGACAACGCAAGCAGCAACAGGCACAAGTTGATTCAGGGAAATTCCATCTGGTTGCAAGAAGAAAAGTCTTAAACATTGGAACAGGACACCCAGAGAAGGGTGAAATTGCCCTCACTGGAAATACTCAATACTGAGCTTCAGGTGGCCCCAGAAAACCCAATCTAAGGCCCAGTTTGGACCAGATTACTTCCAGAGGTCACATCCAACCTACACTTTTCTCTAATTCTCCGCTTTTTCTGAGCTGTGATCTTCATTCCCCAAAGACCAATCTGAGATACCCAGCAAACTATACAACTACATTATCTGCAAAACCCTAAACGGACAGATTCATTCTTCCCCGTTAGACGTAACTCTTCACTCCAAATGCACTGAGAAAAGGTTTACTGCCTCTGCACCTGTCATGTCAATGCTACGTCCATAAAGAAAGAAGCTATACTGACGTAAGAAATATATGTTGAGTACCTACAACCCAAGACATTTCTGACTGCAGTGTGAGGCATTTTTCTTCCCAAAAGGCAAAAAGAATTGGTGTGAAATATTTAAGACATTCATTTATTAAAATCACCCAACTATTCCATACAAAGCTGGTTTCCTTCTGTCAAGAAAATACAGGACCATAAATTTAGCTATAAAGTTACCCTTGGATTTTTCATGATCCATATAATTGTACAAATAAAAAATGACAAGCAACAAAAGAGAGCATCTGACAGGAAACTGTTTAAATGGCATCCCAGCGAGCATTTCAATCTTTACAGTATCATCGGAGTCAAACATAAGAAAGAATGATTATGCAGTAATTGGACGGCTCCAAAATACAGTTCACAACCTTTCCACACACCATCCAGCACAAAACAAATCAGAGAAATAAAGCTGATGCCATTTCCCTTGCTTAAGTCTCTCCACGCAGCTATTAATTTACTCTGGCTACGGATTTATCGAGAGCTGGTTGTGAATAATAGTTCACAAAAAAGCATGGAAAAGGGTAAGATTTTTCTTCCGACAAAGGAAACTGCCTATACGAAAGGGAAAAAAGTAAACACACGTCGAACCTTACTGCAGACTTCCCAAGGACATATCCTGAGCGGACAGGAATTTCACAGCGTAGGGGAGCTACGCTGGCTCGCACCCCAACACCACCTGGCCTAACTGGTCTCAAGCTCCATCCTCAAGGCAAAGTTTCAAGGGAGAGAAGGTCAAACGAACGGTGTCAGGAAACTGGCTTCCACCCCCCCCGCCTCTCAAAAGTCGATGCTATCAGGATAAAATTGTCTGCGCTTATTCAAGGATTTCCCTCAGCACGTTAAAATAAAATAGAATAAAAATGCTACGTGAGTAGTTTAGGTTTTGTAGTGCCTGTATAGCACGAAGAAACACTGACACTGACTGGATAGCTTCTTTTCCTCTTCAAAATCCATAAAATGGTAGAGAGCATCAGAATTATAAGATACTAGAGATGATAAATCCTTACAGATCATAGTTTCTTTTGCCACATTATCAGGCTTCCTTCATGTCCATTTTAACTAAGAAGCAGACTCCTTTTCTGAGTCACAGAAAATTTAAGACATCTGTCTTTGCTCTCCTTTTGTACCATACAGAAAGGTTTCCTTGACTTTATTGAAATTTTTTCTTCAGTAAGAATTTAAAACCGACTGATGAAAACTCTATAGCCACTCAACAGAAAACAAGCAAACTCATAACTACATTATTCTTCAGAAAAATACGAAATAACAAAACCTCTTACGTTTTGTCAAAGAACAGTTACAGGTTTCTCACAGACATTCAGTATCTGCAGCTCAGTGCTTACCATCTGGAAGCTTCTCGTCGAGTGAAATTCACACTGCATCATATCAAAGAAAATCGGGATCGTAGCTTTCCGAAGTTCGGTTTCGGGGATCAGCGTCATTTCTAAGATAGGTCCCACCATTTCTGGGATGAACTTGATTTTATGCTGACCTTTAAGAGAAAAGACATAGAGTAAAAGAACAGCCACTGACTTGGGTGGAAGATAATTGCTATAAAAGCTGTGTCAGTAAATTCTCATATTGCATAAGACAGTCTTTTTCACGAGCTGACTGCACTGAAAGATGGATTATTATTTACGCCACAAGAGGGGAAGTATGTGGAATGTATAAACCCGAATTAACCAGAGTTGTTGAATCAGTCATCCAACTGGAACTGCCCCACTTCCCACAAAGCACTCCTATTTGCACACTCATACTAAGGTTCAAGGCTGGTTTTTTTTAAGCACAACGTACGGTTGGAGAGAAGGAGGCTGAGCGGCACATCCCTTGTACTAACTCCTTTAGACTTCTGGATCTTCCGCGGCGTACAAAATGTTCTCCGTGTCAGTCTATCAAAGTGTCACCACCAGTGCACGCTTACACCGCCTCGAGGCACGCAGCTACGTCTCACCGAGCCGACAACACGCCCGCTTTCTTCCAGAGCCGATCTGACTGGCAAACTTCATCTCACATTTACCTTCCCCAGAGAAAACTGCACCTCCTCCAACCCTCCCTGCTACGCTCGCCGCACACGGAAGAGAAACTAAACTTTAACAGGAACAAGGCACCTAATAAATACTGGACTAGTTAAAAACAGAATCACAGAACCCCAGCATGGTCGGGGTTGGCAGGGACCTCTGTGGGTCACCCAGTCCAACCCCCTGCCCAAGCAGGGTCACCCAGAGCAGGCTGCACAGCACCGCATCCAGGCGGGGCGGGAATATCTCCAGAGAAGGAGACTCCACAGCCTCCCTGGGCAGCCTGGGCCAGGGCCACGTCACCCTCAGAGGGAAGAAGTTCTTCCTCACGTTCAGACGGAACTTCCTCTGCATCAGTTACCTCTAGTTACTGTTCAGATTATCAGCTAAAGTGCAGAGAGAGCAGACTGCGTGGTCTGCAAAGCATCGTTCAGCAGCTCCGTGGAAGGATGCTGGCGCAGAGCGGTGTAGCAGGGCACCGGAGAGCCGCAGGCAGAGGACTTGGTGGCAGCAGTTTAGCAAACACAAGCAGGTTCCCCTCTCCGCAGCAGGCTGGGATCCCGTCGAACCCCACTGCGCGGCCGGCGGGGTCTCTCGCAGACGCAGCAAAAACACGCGGCCAGGCTCGTACACTGCTCCTGCACCCGCCGCCGCGCTGCGGACCAAACCTCTTCGGAGCTGAGCTAATTTCAGGAGCCCTCAGCTTCCTCCATGCTAAGACCCTTGTTTCCCATTGCAGCTACCAGTGGAATAGGGCAGAAAGAGATTTTAATTCATTTATATTCCGCTGCCCTACACCAGTACGGCAGTAACTGTGGGAGTCTTTAATTAGCAGCTTCACTTCTGACCAGAACTAACATAAATCTCAACAAACGTAATCAAGAAGAAATCCTTTACTAACAAAACACGCTACTCTTTTTTAGCAGATATAATTTATTTGATTTGGGAAACTTCAGGATCCTATTAGCATCAGCAATCCTATTACAGCAAATTAATACTCCACTAAAATCGCTGCTTTGTATCCTGCTGCAGCGCTGGTTGTTGGTGAGGAATATCAAGTGAGAGGTGCAAAGCCTTCCTCTGTCTCTCTCACAAGTGTTATTACATTCGGCCTCTCAGGTGACGGTTTTCTTGTATTATGCTTGAGAAGTGTCAGAGTTAATATTTCAGAAAACAAATGATAGTGTCAAAAGTTATTCGTCAGGCACTAATTCAACGTCACAAAGTTCTCCGTGCGCCACGGCGGGTTTTTCCATCGCATCAAGCACAGGAATTCCCTCGGAAAAGTAACTCACATCTTCAGAACTTTCGATGTGAAAAGCGGCGAATTCGCAACAGCAGGTTCTTCTGAAATCTTTGATCCCCGTTCCTCTTCCCTGGGGGCATACAAACTCCTTGATCAAGAAGGGAGCCACTGACGAGCCGATCAGACGACGCAGGCGCGGCGAGCTGCAGGTCCCCTCCGAGGGGCCCCCCAC